CCAGTTCAAGTATATCTTTAAAAACCAAACCTGTAATTAGAAGAGCATAAATTTGAAGTCTTTTAGATTTTACAAACACCTTCACTTTCTATAGCAACTAAAACCCTAATACAAAGTGGATATATCCATCAACAGCAGGCTTTTATGAGTGAAATTGGTAGATTTTACAATCATGTATAATTGTATATACAGTGAAGTACAAGGTAAAGTTCTTAAACAAATATTCAAACTTAAAATAAGTATTGTCATTTCATTTTCATTTTCAATATGAAAATATCCAATGCTTCAGTTGCTCCCACCTACGGTGGGGTAAGGGGGGTCGGATGTACGCAGTCTTATCCCTGTACTAAAGCACAGAGAGACTGTTTCCGGATGACTCATAATGAAAACCGCGTCCAAAATTGCCTGGACTGACCGTTGCTTCATAACAAAGAAACGCAAACAGTTTAGTGAGTCATTTTGCTTTATTCTATCATATTCTCAAGCCAAAAAATAATGAATCTTTGGCCCAAGGCGGTAAACAACTCAACAATTAATTTCATTCTAATGACTAAATCATACTGAGTATTATATGTTGTAATACATGATCTGCACATATTCTTAGACCCGATCTCAATAATTAGTTTTATTCTAAAGTTCATATCATACCAAGTCTAATATGTTAGTACAACTTTCATATGAAAAAAGAAAGCTAATATTATATTGAGTATAACATTACCTATTACCTGCCAATACTCAGTAAACATCCCTACATATTAGTTGGCACTAATATTATAATAAGGCATTTTTCACAGCCCTATTTTCCCTCTTAACTACACATGACTCAACCATTGTTGGACATTTGATTGAATTTGTGTTTTTGAATTTGCTTGAAGGGGATTTAGTAACTAATAATGCATGAACAATTTCAGGCCTATGATCTGCTGAAGAATTCAAATTAAAACTTTAGTATCAAGGTGTAGTTGCTTAAGGTTAATAATTAAAAATCTCTATCTTGTTGCAAGTGAAGCAAGTTTAGTAGCAAGAAAAGGCCGCTCTTTGTTTTTTTTTTGTTTCAACCCTCCCCTCAACTTGGTAAATTATTATTAAAATCTAGGTAATTGAATACTACTTATTGTCATTTTATCTACATCTAAGTACTTTTGAATTCTTATGGAGTCAGTTTTATGTTGAAATAAGGTCAATCTAATACAGTGGCGGAACCAGGCCGGGGCGAGCCGGTGCCGCCGCCCCTCCTTCGCCGGAAGTTTTAAGGTAGTATTAGGCTATATTTTCCCGCCGCCCCTGGATCTCCCGTCGTCTCCCCTTTTCTTTTTGGTTCCATAGCTCATAGCTGGTAGTCTAATACCTTCGTCTTGCTCTGTTCAATCGTCAAAGATGCTAAGCAATCATTTTAGGCTTATTGCAACGACAACGTTCGGTGTGTAACTTAAAGAAAAAAGAAATGACGTCGCATGCTATTAAGTTATTACTCCGTATTTTATACAGTAATAAGTTTGCACGGGTTTACAGTTTCAATTCAGTCTCAATTTTGTAAGGATGCAAAGCACTCGGATCTCGGATGGCAGTCATGGCAGAATGACTGTTGGAGATTATTCTAATTATTACTTCGTATTTATTGTCATTAATTATTAGTTATATAGTTGGACTCACGGTGGTATTTGTAACTAATTATGACCAAATTATATTCAAAAGAGATTGAAAGAAATGTAATAACCAAATTATGACACTAAAAATATACGTAGTATTAGTTATATTTGTATAAGATTGAAAGAAATAGCCACGAGGAGTAGAAATGTTTCTGCATTTCAAAAGAGAACTTTCATGTCTTTATTTCTTAAATAGAAATGATTACTGTCATATTATGGTAGTATTAGATTTTAAACATGACAGAATTTTTGAAACTTGACAGTAATTATTCATATTTGGGAAATAAATATATGATAGTCAATTTTTGAAATTTTCAAACATTTTTACTCTTATTTTGTGACGAATTTCTCCTAAAATTTTGTATGTAAATTATCAATAACTTCGACCCAACTAATCTTACTCTCTTGAGTTTTGTCCCAACCCGATCTTGACATCTTTTATCGCCCCCCTTCAAAAACTAGTCTGGTTCCGCCACTGATCTAATATGAACATAAAAATGATATTAAAAATTATCATAGGTTTGAGAATACTGATAAGAAAGATGGTACTAAGATTTAAGGAAACATCAATAAATTAAAATAGAAAATATGATGGTCATATATTTAATCATTATCTTAGCAAATTTGGCTTTAATTAGGAAAAATGCAAAAAAGAACGCAAAGATTCTTAACCTTCAATGGGGGAAAACATCCAAAAGGTACCACATAAGTGATGAGAAAATAAATAGAAAGTTGCAATAAAACAAAACCAACTTTCTTCGTAAGATGCTAATTCTTTGAATTCAAGATCTTTCCTCCAATGAATCTGGCAATGTTAAATCACAGGCATGTGAGTTAAACATCTATATTCCTCGTTTTTTTGTAAAATACTTAGTCAAAACGAAACATCTATTGTTCAGTTTGACTGAACGTTAGCAAAAGAAGAGTCACAGTGTCGGTCTAAGGGTGATAACACATTGTTTTGCTTGACCTAAAAATATTTAAAATTTTCTAAATAATAGTTTCAGATAAATATGTGCTATAAGGATGACCCCCCCCCCCCAAAAAAAAAAAAAAAAAACTTGATTCTATCACAATTGCAAGATATGCAATCTAAATGAGTCAAACCTCCTATCTAATGGCAGACCTGTTAAGCCACTCAAAAGAAATAAGAATATATACCTGCAATTGGACTCCCCTTGGTCGAACAATCTTTGCAATTCCTCCATAAAGAAACATTTATCGATTTAGATCATTTGAATCCCCAGAATCTTGAAATTAGTAAGAGTTTAAAGAATGAATATGAAATTAGGAGCATTGAGAAACGAAATGTGATTTAAAGGTTTTTAAATATCCAAAGACACTCTAATGCGTATAAAAGGCTTCCAAGCAGCTTCAATATTAAACTCATCAAACTTAACAAAGTTGCCTATAAAATTTCTATTTTCCTCGCATTTTGCGGGATTAGAAACCCCCATGTCAAATTATGAACATGAACCTAAAACTCAATCATATTTAGCGATAAAAGTCCTATTTATGAACTTTAACATTGTTTTAGTCCTATTTATGAAATTACTTCTAATCCAAAATTAGAAACTATGCAAGGACAATTGATTTCTAATGCAAAATATGTTTTTGTATATTTGTCTTATTGGGTTAAGAGCTGTACTTATACGAGTAATTAATAGATGTACATATATTGAAACCAACATTAAATAATTTATCTCCGATTACAAATAATAATATGTGCAAACTTGACAAAATGGACAAGTGACCACTTGACCCGACTCGACTTGTTCCCACCCTTGCGGTAGTGCTCCTCCTTGACAAAAATTCTGAGTCTATGTCATTGTATAGTTGTATACCAGAAAAATCTCTTTAATTTTCATCCTTCTCCAATTAACCCTGTGGCCTATGTATGAGTACACTTTTTTATGACACATTCTGAATAATTTTTAAAACAATATCTAACTTTTACTATAAAAAGAAGAATCACTTTCTATGTTTTTTAAAATCATTCCCGAATATTATAATGCAATAATATGGGTATAAATTACACCGTACCGCCGGTTGTACGGTGCTCACCGTACAGCCGGGGTTTTTTGTAATTAAATCTACGATTCAGCCAGACAACTCAGCGATGAAGACGACGGACGGCGGATAGAAAGACAGTTGCAACTCGCGAACGCAAAACGCAGATAACCAAGCTTCCAAGTGCCCCAACTTCGGACTGGCAGATACCGATCGACAGAAGCAGAGACGGCTAAGATGCTTGGCCGATGAAGAGGCTACTTTACCTCTGCGATTCCAATTTTCACAGCCCTATTTTTCCCCTCTTGCTAATTTCTCACCTCCTATGTGTTGCCACAATTTTTTTATAAAAAATCTATTACGTTCTTAGTAATATTATAAAAATGAGTTTAATTTTAAACTCAAATGAGTATATGTCTAAAAGAAATGAACTCACACAAAATAATATTGAACACATCGAATATGAGTTTTATATTAAACTCAAATGAGTATACGCCTAAAAGAAATGAACTCAACAAAGTAATATTGAACACATTGAAAATGAGTTTTAAACTCAAATGAGTATAACGCCAAAATGAATGAGCATACACAAATGAGTTTTTGAATTTTTGGATATTCATTTTGTAAGTTACATATGCTCATTTGTTATTGTTTTATGCTCATTTAAAAATGTTTCACATTTCAAACGTATCACTACATTGGATTCAAATGTTGAAATAATAAACGAAAAAATAATAAAAAGAAATTGAATTAGAAGATATGAAGCAGAAATCACTGATGCTCATTGTTAGACCCTTAGTACTCAAAAAAACAGACTTGATGCTCATCACAATCACATAATGAAAATTACTGGTACTTATAATTTCAAGTTGATGCTCAATGAAAATGTCTTCATGTTCAATTAAAAGTACTTATAATTTTCATATCAATTCTCATTTTATAAGTTATTATGCTAAACAGGCATTCATGTTATGCTCATTTGTAAAATGGCATTAGGCATAACAATGCATATTTCAAAAGTATCATATTGCATTAAATTCGCATACTGAAGTTCATAAGAGTTGATTATAGATATAATTTAATAAGTTTTTATAAAGAAAAAGCTAAGGAAAAGAAAGTAAATTCGAAGAGATGAAACAGAGATCACGATGCTCATTGTTATGCTTCTAATGCTAAATGAAATATGCCTCATGCTCACTAGACGTGTTTTAATGCTTATTTAATACCAGACGTGAATTTCATGTAAATTACAAAAATGTAACTGGCCGTACGATTCTCAAAAATGTACGATATACGCTTGCACTAATATGGATTAACATTTTTCTTTCATTTTTTAGAGAAATTGGAAGAACACTCAGACTGACCGCAAACAACAAGTGTAGCCCGTATTATTTTCGTACGGAGTATCATGCTGCCTGGATTCAGCTCTTCCCTCCTTGAGTTCGCGTCTATCTAGCTGTTCGAATTTTGAGCGGTTATTGCTCATCCTATGCCTCGTCCGTACGAAATGGAACCGTCCTTCGTCTCCAGGGCTCGTACTGCCATCCATTCCGCTGCATCTAAAGCGGAGAAAGTCTTTACGGATATTAAAAAATCTGATCCCGCCATTGATGGAGGTATATCGACGCAACTCATGTCGCCTGTCGATTTTTATTGTTTACTGGAGCTGGACTATTTAATTACCTAATTTTCTCTCTTAATTTTGTTCTTGAACATTATACTTTCTCAGTTGAAGCTGAAAATCTGGATGTTCCAGTCGGAGGAGATTCTGATAAGCAGTCGCCGGAGACATCAGCTCCTGAATTGATTGATAATTGGGACGAAGGAAAGGTAATTATGATCATAGTTGACTTTGTTCTATTATGTTTAGTCGTTCTCTGTCAAAATAATACGGAGTATACAATTGTGAAAGTGCTCATATCCTGACGGTTTTCTTTTTACCTTTTTAATTTGATTGGCCTTTATTGCATTGTTACATATTTTGTTTTATTATAGGTTAAATTTGGTAAATAGACTCACCAGCTGAATAATTAGATTGATTAAAAAGCACATTGACTGAGGAGATTAAGCTCATTTTATGAGTTATCATTTATTAGATTTTGTGAAATAGCTCCACGCGTTTTCATGTTGGCATGTGTTGGAAAAGTGACGATATGTAAATGTTTGAAGGAATTATTGGTTCTGGTAACTATGCAGGGTAATAATGAAGGGAAGAGTTTGAGGTGGAGACCAACCCAAATAAAGACGAAGCAGGATTGGCAAGATAGGCTAAAGAACTTAAGAATAGGAAAAAGAGGATCACAGGATAAGAAGAATTCTACTATGGCATATGCAATTTTTGATGAAAATTTATACTTGTTGAGGTATAAAGAAATTCAGGAGCAGGAGGTAAGTGTGATATCAAATGTTGTCTAATATACTCATACTCCGTATATGGAACAGTTATGGGTTTCATACAGGGGGATTTGGAGTTTGCACCTACTTTTTCGTCCAAAGTTTTCCAAAAGATATAATTTGTGTTAACAAGGGGGTGCAAGGTGCAATTGGAACAATTGGAAAGAAAAACAAGGTGGAAATTCTCAAATGTGAGATGCAATTATTAATGATTTCAAGATGGGGCGCAAACTTCATTTCGATAAAAGAGTAGGGTGCAAACTCTAATGCCCCCTTGATTGCAAACCTACTCACATAATGCTGAAAATATATCAACCGTTCCTAAACTATGATTTACACTGTCAATATTTTGCTGGACAAAAGTATAGACCAAATTAAACGCAGTGCGGTGCCGTGCCCACTACCTTTATTGATCTCTATTAAGAATAATGTTATTGCTCTTATTAGTTATATTCCTTGCCTTGTGTTGATAGAATATGAGATTCATCTCTCTCTCAGTTTTTTGTATATACCACCAACTTGCTAGTATGTATTAATGTAAGACTAGAAAACTTATCAGCACTTTCCCTGATAAATTACATAGATATTGTTACATGTCAGAAGGTGATCAAGAACTATGGATAGTGACATACCTTGTAGGTTATCTAAGCCAAAGTTCCATAAAAAAACATGGAGTACATTATAGATTATTCACATTTCACAATCCATTATCGTAAACCACAACCATAACAGATGAGACCATCATTAGTTTTGCCCTATGACTATATAATATGTATTCATTTGAGGTGCATTTAAGCATTTCTCTATTATAAGAAATTCCAACCCCACAACTCTAGGTCTTGTTTGGTTGATTTTGCTAATATCTTTCAGGATGCCAAATCAGTTTCCTTGTTCGAAGATTCAAACCTTTTGGATACAGGGTGCATCCCTCCATCTACTGTCGTGAAACAACTAGCTATAGCTATTGAGTAAGATATGTTTAAGCGTTTGAGATATTCTTTCTACTCCTATTCTTTTCTTGTATCCTAGGGGTGATGGTTTTAAATTTGTTTTTTCCTTCTTGCCTTCTCTGCAGTGAAATGTGAACCATTGTGAAATTTGCCTTCTTAAATTTGTAACTATCGTAAATGAAAAAAACATCACCAAAGATCCTTCCATATCCTTATGTAAATATGGGATCATTTATTTCCTAAACAATCAGAAAAGCTAAAGTACGGGATCGTCAGTTAAAAAAAGAGGAAATTAGTAGGACTATGACTAAAAAAGGTATTGATTCTTAAAATATGACTAAACAATTTTTATTCCCAAAGTAGTGGTGTTTTACACGTATGGTACATGTTTTGATGCTACTTTTTCTCCGTTCAATTTAATTATCACTCATATAGAGGCATGATTAAGTTTGTTAGTCATATATTAGGAAACTATGATTGTTTTAGTCGCATATAGATAGTTTTCCCTAAAAAAATATCTTCAGACCTTCTAACCCTACTAAATTAAACCATTACTAATATGGATGCTGTAATCTGTGCATATGTTGGGATATTCCCCAGGTCTGGAAAGAAGTACAACTCAATGAAAGACCTCCTGGCTTCGTCAAGAGGTTCTTCACCTATAAGAGAGAAAGCTAGCTTGAGCTTCTCTGCAATGAAGTCACTAGTGCTACGTGAAAAAGATGAAATAAGTGAGCTGGGGACTGACAATAAAGATAGCTGTCTAATCACTTCACTGCTAGATGCAGGTAGATGCCAGTTTTCTGGACTAGTTTAGGATGTTTTTACTTGGACTGTTTTCAGTCTCAGACCAGACCAGACTTAAACAGACCAGACCATACTAGACTTGACTTTCGTAGTTATAAAATACATAGAGATCAGACGTTTACCGGACCAGAACTGACCGGAACAACAAATTACAGTCCAAGTAAAAACATCCTTAGTTATGTTCCTTTTGATCGGTTTTTATGGTTGCACTAGTCTTATAAACCCATCTTTTCCCTTTCGTTGCACTTTGTGATTTTCTCATTTCTTGCATATTGCCAAGATACTTGTAGAAGGACATTCCCCTGATTGGAGGGTGGACAGTGGTTCAGAGGCATCAACAAACTCCACATCTATACCTAAAGACATTCACGGTGCTCCTCCTGACTGTTTTGTAATTAAACTTGCTAAAGTGATTGGGAATCTGAAATCATTGCAGAAAATGGCATCATTTTGGAACAAAATTGTTGCCGAAGTAAGTTGAGTCCAGATATGAGTTTGTAGATCCATATATCTTGAAGATCTCTGATATAATGGCCTTTTATTTCAATTGTAACGGCTTTGGGTGAACAGTATCTATAATTTTTTTGTCCTTTGTAATATGACTAATATCATTTTTAGAACCCTTGTCTTTGTTGTTTTATCTCTTATATTTATTTTAATGGGTTTTCATTTTAATTTTGTCAAAAGTGAAGTATTTAGCATGTTTATTTTAATTTTTCACATATGCCTCTCATAAAGCCCAACTAGTTTTTTTTTTTGTGCAGCTGAGAAGGGTTTGGTCTGAGGAGCAGTATATCCCTGGCATTCCATCTAATGAGATTCCTGACCTAAATTCCTGCCTTTTGTATCAGCAGCTACAGGTGATTAACTGTTGTGTTTCCAGGAAAAGGCGCATTTTTCTTGCCACAGAACAATTGGATTCTATTATGAGTCTAGCTAATTCAAATACCAATATCCCTGATTTGGAGGACACATCTCCTGGAAGTCGTGTATTGTATGCTAAAATTGCTACAGGGGAACACATTATTCGCTTAGGAGCTAACAAACTATCTGATTTAAGAATGTTGGAAACGGGTGAACCTATATATACACCTCTGATACAGGTTTGTACAATCTTGGAGATATATCACTCTGTTCCAAACTTCATTCTATGAATTCTATCTCGGTAAATCTATGTGCACTGTTTTTATGTCAATAAATTGTTAACTGATGGTCTAGGAAGCACCTTTGTTGACAGAGGATCTTATAAAAGAAACGGAAGAGTTTGTACTACGAACGGGGAGGTAATGCCTTCAACTGTGAAGCTGCATGTCGTCATTAAATTTCAAGTTTACTATTTTATGAGTTTAAAATAAAAATCTTAACTGCACATTGCTCAAATATTTGGTAACGGTCAGTCTTCTAAACCAAAGTGCAAAGGCCCAATGAGGTTAATTTGAAAGCTTAACTTATTTGAGAAGACAGTAACTGTATGATATTTGCTAGCATGAATTTTAGCAGTTCTCTTGAAATGGACATGCAAATAAATTTATCAATATGTCTAGTGGTTTACTGATGTATAGCCAGGGAACTTGTTGAGTAGTTTTGTGATGGTTTTTTAAATGCTTAACAGTGAATGGGATTGTGAAAAAAATCTATCACGTCAATTCCATTTTCTGCACCTAATCAATGAATAAGCTTCGTACTATAACTGATTTTTTTTTCAAAATTTTAATTGACAATGTTCTTCTGAGGCTGACACTGTATGGTTGTCATTGTGACTAGCATTTATTGTAAGAATTGGTTGTAAAATTATTGTTTTGTCTAGAGATTGTTTGAGTAATCAAAAGATCCTTTTTACCCTGGTAATCAGTATGGATCCAGCTAATAAGATTTAATTCATCTTTTGTATTAAAACCTACTTTTACCTTTAGAATTAGTCATAAACTCATAATTGTGACTTTTTAAGCATTAGCTTCAAACAATTAGTTATTGCCGATGCAATGTCTTTAAGTTCCTTCTTTGACTCTACGGAATTGAAAACTACTGCCACTTTTTCACTCATGATAACTGATTCTACTACCCATATTTTTTTTTGTATCATTTAAACAACGAACTTTTATTGTCAGTGTTGGTGCGGGGTGCTCTCAACTCCTATCTGATATGCAGGCTTTCAAGGTGAATTTCTATTATAGTATGATTTTAAGTTCCTATCTTGGTATATCCTGTATATTTGATAATGAATATGAGAATCATATGTTTCTACTTTAACAAATATATATACCAGGCAGCAAACCCTGGTTGTATATTAGAAGATTTTGTGAGATGGCATTCTCCTCCTGACTGGATGGAGGGGGACAATAGTGAATCTAACGAAACATTTGAAAGCAGTGATTCATCCCTGAGAGGCCAACTGAGTAATCGGATGCAGAAAGAAGGTGCGTTTTCTCCTTAGGATTTGTTTTTTGAGCTGTCAAAACCCAGTTTCTGCTGTACACTGTTTCAGTTGATGTTTGCAAAGTATTCCTGATTTCGATAGGATTTTTAGTGCTGGAAAACATGGTACTATAGTAGTGCTTGAAGTAAGCCATAAATTTGCCTACGTATTGGCGTTATTTGGCTATGTCCCAAACAGTCTGACTAAACTTGCAATACTTACCTTCCTTATATTTATTGTTTTGTTTAAAGGTAATCTATGGCGTGAATTGTGGGAAACCTCAAAACCAGTACCAGCTGTCAGACAAACACCCCTCTATGATGAGGACTTGGCTGTGTAAGATTTGATGTGTTTGTTGCAGTGTTGTCTGTTTTTTTTTATGAAATTCCTGAAAAGTAACCTTTTGTGCCTGTACATAGGGAGGGTATCCTGGATGCCTTGGAAGATATCTCACCATCTGTGCTTTTTGAACAACTGTTTATATCCCTTGTAAGTAGTCTTATTTAACCACACTTCTTCATTTCTAATTTTTTGGTCTATTTTTTGTCCACTAGTAATCTCAGTTATAATTACTTGAAAAGATTCCTATTAGCTCCTTTTGATAATCGAGTGGCCTCTTGAAGTACCTTATTTCTATCAATTTGTCAATATTTCATTTTTATGTACTCCGTATAATTTTTGCAAGCCATATCAATGTTATGATGACCAGAAAAGAGTTCAGTTCTGCTTTAGTTTCATATATTATTGAAATTTCAGCTGGGTGTAGGGTTTGTGATTGCCGAGTCAACCCTTTCATCAAATCCCAGCTTGTCAGGGTTGTTTCGTGAGTGCAAAGATTACATTGTTGCAACTTGTCAAAATAGCACGTGGGTGAAGAAAATTGATGATATATGTCAGGTATGTTTGTAGTTGGTTTAGCTTTTTTTGTACTTTGTAAGACATGCTAAGACATGAAAATGAAGTTGTATTAGATAATACGGACGAGCCTCTCCACAATGTGAGGGAGTCGTCCTGTATGAAGTTGTTGAACCATTTAATTAAAAATTAAAGCAGTACATGCTATTTTATTTAGGTGTATGAAACAGTGGAGACAATGGTACATAGCCCGGATGAAGTCGTGAAAATGACAGTACAGTGCGGAGAGAACACCCCTCCTGTTAATGAGCTGAAAAGTCGCTTCAAGAGACTAAGCTCCATCTTTGGTAGTAATAAGGATAAGAAGAGTGCAGGGAAACCATCCCCAACAAACCAGGAGGAGAACCTTATAAAGCAATCACTCTCATCTATTTTCTCAAAGAAGCCACCAAAACCAGGCAACCTTAGTCCAATTGATACACTTTCCTCTTCTGTTGAGAATGATTGGACTATTGTATAAAATGTCTCACCCAAAGGTACAACTGTACATTAGTTTTTTGAGTAAACTATATGTATACGAACCTGTGGACAAAAGACAACACAGCATATTCTAAGTATATGATTGGTATATATATTTATACTTTTTTTAGAATTAAAGGCACACAACTTCAAGGACAATGTAGGTTGTCTGAGTTTGCCCAAGTTCCATGCAATCGTGTTTTTTTCTTCCCCCCCTTGGCGCTTTATAGTTTAGCAGAACTAGCGGTATCTGGGAAACAAACTAAGAAAATATATAGGCGGCATAATTAAGGGAACTATGATACACGGCTAGGGGTGGACATATGTTTTGGGCCAGTAGGTTCTGACCACTTAAGGTAGTAACCAACTAACCACAACTGGAACTGTACAACTTGTTTCTTTTTGCATCCAATTAAACCGACAGTTCCAGACTTTGAGATCTAGATATGGTTCAGTCTCCCTAATTTCGAGACATTTATTAAAAAGAATGGGAAAGAGCTGGTCTGATCCTCTTCTGTAAACATCGGAATCAGACCTGAATCAAACGGCAAGAATGGAAAATATGCAGTTTCCGGTAGCAGTTCTGCTTATGGACTTGATTCAGTGTTCGGTAAAAACTAGATTGATCCGGTGGAAGTGTGGAACTGAAGCTGTGTCCATTCCTGTATGGGGTGCAGGCAAGCCTGTCAATTACTCTTCTTCAGAGAGAGGTGGGGGAGTGGAATTTTGAGACCATGCCATGGCTTCTTCTGCTGTTGGTTCTTGTTCCCGAGGTAGGTGGTGGGTTTACGCAGAACGCAAACGTCACCCTTGCAGACATATTGACTGCTTGTCACCGGTGACTCCGAAAAGCAGCCACATATTTGGAACAAAGCCATTGCTAGGAAGATGGAGGAGATGGATGTAGATGATTTATTTAAGAGAAAGTTTCATTTGCAATCTTCTTTGCATACGCCTCTTTTATTTATAATCAATCAATTGAAAGGATTGCACTTGTTCTGTCCAGATTGGCAATTTTTAGCATTGAATAATTCCAACAACTTACTCACGCAGAGCAGTTTTAAATTCTGTGGTCAAGTTAAGTGTACATTGAGAGAGCACGCCTTGGCTTGCTTTTTGACCTATCAATCCTTATTGTTCCTTTTTACCAGTTTTCTTTTTTAATTTCACACTATGAACAGGTTAATAATGAAAAGGCAAGATTAAAAGCACAATATTTTTTTAGAATATTAATGAGATAAAACTTTGAAAAAATGAATAAATTTATTCTGAGTATGACTTTGTGATCTCCCAAGCTAGGCGGGGCAACGTGTTAGATTGGTATATATATCACGCCTAATTGAACACTAAAAGAGTTTTGTGATTCACATTTAAATTATGTCTGATATCACGTCTAACCGAATTATGTCTGATACTCCGTATTTAATTGACGTAGGATAGCTCACCCTCCCATACTAATTTGTGGTCTTAATATCGTGCTGATATGTAATATAATTTGTGCTAAGACATCATTATTGGCTTAGATATGTTTTCTAATTAATCCCTACAAATATACTACGTAGTATACATTTTTTTTCTGGAATTTCTCCTTAAATATTACTAATAAGAAAGTCATAGACAAATTTTTTACTTAGTAACTATTAGTAACTATAATTGTTCAAGTTTACTCCGTACATCGTAGTAATTACATGTTAAAATTTACTACGGTGTAAACTTTGAATAAAATTATAGTCACTAATAGTTACTAAGTAATACTTTTGTCCACTAGGTAATATTAATGGATTTTTTCTTTTTTACATCCTTGCAATTTTTTATTTATTTATGTATCTTTGTAATATACTAGTATGTTTTTATAGTGTCTCACCGATTATAACAATCTTGGTTTGATAACGAAAAACCCAACTAATAGGTTTATTATGTCATTCAAAAAATATGTAATTTTAATTTTTAGGTCATTAACACCTATTTAAAATCATAGGAGAAAGTGATTCGTTTTACATTGTTTTAACTCTCATATTAATCTAAAAGAACAATAAAAAGTATAAATTTAAGATTCTCTAGTAGATTTATGCCACTGCACCAACATCAATTTTTGTCTAAAAGAAGTGACATCAGGCTTAGAGATGGACTTGCAAGAAAATAATGTATATTACTGAGATGAAATAATTTTATCCAAAGATCTAATATAAAATGTCATATTTGCAGGGGGGAAACGTTTTTAATCATGTTTATTAAGATGTTTTATATAGTTTCATATTTGATCCACGTGTATAACCCCAGGGGTGGGCACGTGTCGGGACAGTTCGGGATTAAGGTTATCTCGGTCCCACCCAATTATTAATAATGGTATAGGACGGTTCGGAACAAGTCATTGTCCTAGTCTTGTCTCATTTAAATCGAGACCGGTATGATTATGAATGATTTGGGATGTCCCAAACTAACATAAGAGTATGATACAAGAAAATCCTCTTTTGTAATTAAATATATTAGCATTTCTAAAGTATCATGCATCAAAATATTATCATTTTAAAAGTCAACTGACGTTCTGTTCGGAGTATTATATTTTAATTAGGTTTAGCAAAAATTGAAATTAAAATTTAAAACAAAGCAAAAAAATGTATTAATTATTTATTCAAAATTATGTGTTCTAGTAGTAAGATACTCAAATGCAAATTTATAGTGAGATAAAAACCTAAGTTAGTACATATTTATGTTAGTACTACCTCCGTCCCATTTATATTGGGACGGGAGAGGGTGGCACGGTTATTAATAAAAGTGGGTTTGTGTGATTGATATTAATTGGTAAAGTAAGAATAAAGTAAGAATGATTTAGAGCCACACAAACATTGCCAAATATGGTATGAGACAATTTAAGTGGGACTTCCGGGAAAAAGGTAAAACGGGACAATATAAATGGGACGGAGGGAATATTATTTTTTATTTAAAAATTGGGCTTGAGAAATTAAAAACATACTATCATTTATTTTTTGAGTTGGCACTACAAATTAGTTGTATGCTAAAAACTATATAGTTATTATAAACGTGAAACGAGATGGTTCTTGATAACCTTCTAGTGTCCCGGTAATGTCCCGTTTTAAATCGGTACGGGAATTGTTGGGAACAAAATGAACGGATCTCAAACGGAATTGGACAACATCGGCATGGTTTTGGGACCAGAAATTCTTGTCCACCCCTAATATAATCCCAATAATTTCTTATGTTAAAGTATTAAAAGTCAACGCGTGGGCTCGGCTTGGCCATTGGTTGAGCCGTTGAGACTTGAGAGGTGAGACATAAAGTTTTAAATATAAAAAATTAGAACTTTGCGAGTTGTAAAATTACTACTGTGGCCCAATTGAGAGCATGAAGTATTGAAATTTGATATATATATTCTGAAATGTTGATATGGAATTAATAAAAATAAGAATAAACATCTTTAGACAGTTGGATGTTTTTACTTGGACTGAAATTTGTTGGTCTAGTCTATTTAAGTCTAGTCTGGTCTGTTAAATGTCCGGTCTCTTTGTATTTTATAACTACGAAACTCTAGTCTAATCTGTTTAAGTCTGATCTGACCTGTTTAACTATGGTCTGGTCTGATCTGTTTAAGTCTGATCTGGTCTAGTCTAGGACCGAAAACAATCCAAGTAAAAATATCCTAAAAACACATAGAAGGAACAAAATGGAAGAGAACAATAAAAAGGTTGTACTTTAAATTGAGTCATTTTCATTTCATTTCCATTTACTCCAGTGCCGCAAAGGCTCCCCACCTACGGTGGGGTAAGGAGGGGTCGGATGTACGCAGTCTTACCTATGTACTAAAGCACAAAGAGATTGTTTCCGGATGACCCGTAGTGAAAATCGCGTCCAAAATTGCATGGGTTGACTACTACTTCATAACAAAGGAGCGCAGACAGTTTAGTGAGTCATATTGTTTTATTCCATCATATTCTCAAGCCAAAAAATAATGAATCTTTGGCTCCATTGCAAATGATGGAAAATGTACTTTAAATTGAGTACTTTAATAAAATCAAAACCATGTGAGCAGCTAGCTTTGCTTCTCTTCTCGTCATGCATATGGTAGTCTGAGACTCATACTGTCATACATCTATAAAACCAGGGATTCTCAACACTGAAGTTAATTTTCTCAAACAACCTGCTAAATTCTTAATGGCCATATCAATAATTCTATACCACAATTCACAAAGAATCGCTTTGAGAAAATCTTCCTAAATTCATCTTCTTGTCTTTTGGTGACTTAGAACTCAGGACTTCTCAAATGAGGAAGATCTTAAATGTGTGATGCAATCCACTTGATCATTGTAAAAGATATGTTGTTATGATGTGTTGTTGATTATGTGTCGCTGAGGTCACCATATATGGAGTATATAAATGAGTAGCGATCCTGTCACGGCCATTTGGGCCTTTGGAGTCCTTTCCGGTGAAGTTTTTTCATGAATTTTAAGCATGTTTTACATCAAATTTAGTACTTTATGCCCACAAAATTTTAGTTTAAAATTCAATCAGAAAAGCAATTAAATAAATTATTCAAAAACACTGTGTTATATATATAAACCGCGCAATATTTTTAATTCCACATATTTTAACCTCGCCTCGTATGGTTAAAAACATATCATTGTGTAATTGTCCAGCAGGGAAAACTCAGAGAAGCGGGATAGTGGCAATACATATTTTTTATTTTCAATCATACTGATTTTATTTTGAAAATTTTGCACTTCAATTCTATGATTTCATTGTACTCCCTCGGTCCAATTCGATGATACCATTGCGGTTTACAATGTTTGACTGACGATAAAGTAAACGAATTCCTATCCGCACTCGAATTATTTTTAGAAAAAAAATTGCATATTCGGAAATACATTAAAAACTTTACAAAGTTGCAAACACTGGATCAAATTTGATAAAAAATTGATATACTCCCTCTGTCCCATTAGAAGGTTTCTACTTTCCTTTTTTGGACGTCCCATATAAAGGTTTTTTTTTTCATTTTAGGAAACAATTAACAATCTTATGTGACAAATTAATCATTAAATATTAAAAATAATACATTTATAAGATCACAATTATCAATATTAACTACATTATAATATATACTCTGTACTTATTAAAATTATGGGAAAAATAATAAAAATACTACAAACTTTGAAGGGTGTGAGGTAAACACCCCAAACTTGCATATATGTAATTTAAATACCCAAAACTTTATATAAAAAGTCATTTCACATCATTGTCATGTAGTATTATTTCTTTCAAAAATGTAAATTAATGGGGTTAATGACATAATTTAAAATAGCAAATTAGAAGTGTTGCAATTATATACTCCGTAGATTGAGGGTAACATGATTTATTTCAGAATGGAAGTTTAGAATGTTAATTGTGTCTTCATGAATTCTAAAATATTTTAAAGTATGCAATTAACACCATAAATTTACATTTTTTAAAGAAATAAAACTTGATTATGGTGCTAAAATAACTTTATATATAAAGTTTGGGGTATTTAAATTACATATGCAAGTTTGGCGTGTTCATCTCATACCCCTTCAAAGTTTGGGGTATTTTAATTATTTTTCCCTAAAATTATTTCTCAAAATATATTCGAAGTACTTTATTTAAATATTGTCTAAAATAACCGTGCAGTTTTGTTACAGGAACCTTCCAACAGGACAGAGGTAGTATAAAAAAAGAGATTAAAAGTGATTTGTGTTGACCATGTGAATAAGAACTGGTACCATCAAATTGGGCCAGAGGTAGTAGCTTTTTGTAGAAAGTATATTTTATTTGTTTATTTATAAAGTAGTTTTATTTGTAATACTCTAGGATAAAACTCATACAATATTACAAAATGCTGAAAATAAAGAAAGGCCCTGAGAGGGAGGGTGAATTTAGTCATTTAGATGCTTTGTAAAACTTGGTGCCATGAAAATGAATATCCAGAACAAACAACAAGCTCCAATGAATCTATAATTTTGCTCAAATGTGTTTT